CAACTACCTACAAGTTATAACGCTAGTTCTACTCGCAGTTACCTTTTATTCCTAGTTTCATTTGTTTGTTATTACTTGTGATTTCGTCCTACGATTAAAAATGTTTTCCAAAGTATTTAAAAATGTCATCAACCAAGGAGCTAGACAGTATTCCTCAAAGGTAATAAAATACATTTTGATAACGATACCTACTAAACATTTAAAAAAATTAGGTTGATAAAAATAATATTATAAGTTAATTTAAACAATTCTTTGTATTTGGTATATTAATATATTATTTTCATATCTACCCTATTTCATTGGTTGCACAATATTGCTCATGACTAAACYAAATCGGTATAATTTCAGTTTAGCTCCCAAGTGATTTTTTCGATTTTTTTTATTGAAACATATGTTTTTCAACGAGTTTAGAACGATGGTGCAAAAATTAGTTGCTGCGAACCATTATTTTGGAAGTTATAGCCTTCCAAAGTATGCGGTTGTATGACAAATAGTACGTATTKCAGCGTGCGGCGCGCTTATCATATAGCACAACAGCTGTTGACTTATGTTACTCTTAGGGTCTAAGTCTCTAACTGGCCATCGAGTATGGCGACCGAAGCCGGTAGGCRGAGKGAGGTCCCTTGAGTTTGGCGATCGGAGTCGTCAGCCGAAGGGAGCCACTATACTTGTGTTACTTTTAYTAACAAGGTTAAATTTACTTGTTAGGTCATCCGCCTGCCCACAGGTCAAGTATGCTCTCCCCCCCGCGACCCCGGAGGGGTCGCCCCCCAGGTTTGCTATTTTAGCCTCGGGGGTGGCTTTACTTGATAATTTTGTTATTTAACTCTTAGCTATGTTTTTACCTTGAAATTTAAGTAAAATCATTTGAATACGAGAGTACCTTCATGAAACACATCACAGAATCTACCTAGTTAATATAATTATTATCCTAAAAAAAAAAAAAATTAAAACGTCGTATTACGCATGCGGCGCGCGATAAAAAAAACGTAAAATCGCATACTTTGAATTTGAAAGGCTATAACTTTCAAAATAATGGTTTGCACCAACTAATTTTTATAGATGACATTTTAGAAATTTCTAATTGTTCTAAAAAAACCATCGTTCTTAACTCGTTGAAATACATAATATGTTTCAATAAAAAAAATCGATTGGGAGCTAAACTGCAACTGTTCCACCAAATCATTATGAATTAACTTTAACTTATTACCTAGGTACTTCAATATAAGTATTGTGCAGAGAAATATATTAATTGTTTTTATATTTTATAATCTTGATAAATACATTATTTCAAACATGCAGCCCAAGGCAAAATAATTTCCACCTTCCCCCCTTACCAAAAAAAAATGTATATATATACATATAAATACATATCTATGTATAAAAGTTAGAATCTTTTGCCTCCCTCAAAAATTTTCTGCTCGGAGCATTTACCCTTTTCATCCACCCCCCCCCCTCAAATGCGCCACTGCAAACATGTGGTTTGTATTTAATTTCTTATGTATTTTTTCTTGTATTTTTGTCTTCATTTTTTAACTGACTTAGTTATATGTTCTTGTAAATATTTATAGAAAGGTTTAAAAGTAACAGTATGTGGAGGATCAGGCGGCATTGGTCAACCCTTGTCGCTGTTGTTAAAACAAAGTCCACTCATCACGGATTTAGCTATTTATGATATTGCTCCAGTCACTCCAGGTGTAGTKGCTGATCTAAGTCACATGGATACTAATTCAAATGTAACCAGCCATGTTGGTTTGGACAACTTAAAAGTATGTATTTATATAAATTAGTATTTAATAGATAATTGGTTTCTAATTACAAATAAGTATCCTTACTTAGTGCAATCAGGAAATTATCTGAATTAWAAAAGTAGGTATATTTTGTTGGCATAAATTGGTAAAATATACACTTATTATCAAAAAATATCCAAAATTAAATAATGTTATAGGTACCTAT